GGGGATTGGGGGGGTGAGGTGGGGAGTGTGGGGTTGAAATTAGTGAGGTTGAGGGGGTGGTGGAATTGGTGGGGTTGGGTGCATGTTGTGTACACATAAACAGGAGAGAGTTGATGTGTCTCTCTTTGACCTGTTGTGCTGAGAGAGAGAGAGAGTACAAGAATTAAATGGACTGTCAACATAATGTATCAACGCCAAGCACAACAAAAGACTGAAGGGGGAGACAAAAAGGTGATTTAATTCTCATATTAACGCTGATTCTTACCTTTTCTTTTTAAGTCATTAAGAGTAAACCCAATGACCTTTAGGGCCAGGGGAGGTTCAGGTGAGATAAGAAGGTTAACACGTAATAAGAGAGACTTTACAAATTAACGAGGTATAAGATTTATAATATAAAAACCTTTGACCATAAACTAAACTAAACCAAACCAAACCAAACCAAACCAAACCAAACCAAACCAAACCTAACCTAACCTAACCTAACCTAACCTAACCTAACCAAACCTAACCAAACCTAACCTAACCTAACCAAGTTCCTCTTTATTTTCCCTTGACAAAAAAATATTGGCATCATTTTGACGCGAAAACTAGTTCCCCCCCTCTCTCCCAAAGGTCCTGTTTGCTTACATGCGTGGGAGGTAGTGTAAGTCCGTCCCCTTGAGTGTGAGTGTCTCTCTGTTAGCCTTTGACTCTCGCTGTAAGCCATATGACGCTGCTTCTCCCTTATGACGTTATAGAGAGAGACGTCTTTACTCCACATCATAATCACACAGCCTTGTCTCCTGTGGGCGGCTCTCCATGCAACACTTTCTCTAATTGAAGATAATATCACTTTAATTGATCCCGATTAAAAAAAAAAAATAGGCAAATATATGATCAGGTAAAGATACGAGCCAGGTACACGGGTCTTTCTTAACCTGGCCTAAAATACATGAAGACAAATAAACTAAGACTACAAGATATTTTCCCTAAGACCCATTGACTGAAAGTGATGTTAAAATATTACAACTACACTTCAACAACTCAAGTCTTTAAACGTGGAACAAGATTAATAATTACACCAGTCTAACAACAATACAAAATCCATTATGTAAGTTATTGATTTAAATTAAGATAAAAACACAGACATCTACGACTGTGTTAAGATATGAGCTACTTAATGTATCTTTCATAAATGAGCCAAGATTTAGAAATATCAATTAAATATCTGAACTGGTATTAGAATATATGTAACTTGTCTGACTGCATATAATTTGAAGGAATAAAATTAATTAAAATTAATAAATATGAATAAAAGGCAGAGATAGAACTCAATGTTTGTTATCATTCCCTTATGATAGAAAGTACTGCTCGATTATATAACACAGGTGAAAAGGTAAGATGATTATATACCTGAAGCCCGTGTATCATACAGGTGTTTTTACGCTGTTCACCTGGAGATTATTGCAACCCATATGAGATAACCCTCGAGGGTAAACATAACAGTACCTCCCTCACTTCCCTCGATGACCTTAAGCTCTAATCTCATATTATATAAACCTAGGATCATCACCCCTCATTACCCCTCCCAAGCAATACGTGGCTTAGCACCATCATCCCCCCCCCCCCTCGACAAAAAAAAAGCCCTTGGCACCAGAGAAAATGGAAAGTTGAGGAGATTGGAGGGGGAGGGAGGGGGAGGAGGGGAAGAGGGGAGGGGGAGGGGATACTATAATTACCATGGCCAATCTGCATTCGTAATGGGTAAGATGTCTGCCATAGAGCCTGCAGCGGATACTTGCTTTATTTTATTTTATATATAGTGAACGAGGCAGAACATCTATCTTTGTCTCGGAATGGGGAGGAGGAGGCACTGGATGGGTAGGGTGTGAAGGGGAGGGGGGGATAAGGAGGAGCTCAGGGGAAGAAGAAGGGAGATTAGGAGAGGCTAGGGAGGATATGAGAGGGGTCAAGGGAGGGGTTTAGGGAGATCGCGGAGGATGAGGAGGGTAAGGCGACACAGCTAGAGAAGTAGGTAAGTAGGTGGGTAGGTCAGTGTGTGCGAGGGAGAGATGGGAAAGGGTGAGGCGAGGAGCGACGGGAAGGTAAAGAAGGGATGGGGAGGGGTGAAGAGGGGCAGGTAGGGGCGAAGTTGGATGGAGAGGGGGGGCGGGAAGGGATAAGGAGGGGCGGGGAGTGATGAAGAAGGGTGAGGATGAGTAATGGGGGCTGAGGAAGGATGGGGAGGGGCGGTGAGGGGCGGGGAAGGATGGGGAAGGTGTAGAAAGGGTAAAGTGAAAGGGTCATGTAAGCAGAGACTATAGAAGGGTGATTCTTATGGGCGATAAATAACAGCATGAAGGTTGAGGCGAAAGAGAGGTGACGAACTGACAGTATTTCAATGGGTATAAGTTATGGGTAAGGTCTGTCGGATGGGTTAGAGTATTAGGTAAGTAGATTATAATGTGCAAGTAATGGTGAGGAAGGGAAGGGAAGGGAAGGGAAGGGAAGGGAAGGGAAGAGGAAGAGGGAAGGCAGGGTGGAAGGAAAGACCTGGTAAGGAGATGAAAGATAAAAACAATAAGGAGAAATGGTCAGCTAGGGATATTTAGGTAGGTAGGTAGGGAGTGGAAGTGGGAGTGAGTGGGGCTGGAGTAGAATTGGAGTAGGTGGGTAGGTGAGTGGGTAGGTAGGTGGGTGGGTGAGTGGGTAGGTGGGTGGGTGGGTGGGTGGGTGGGTGGGTGGGTGGTGGGTGGAGTGGGTGGGTGGGTGGGTGGGTGGGTGGGTGGGTGGGGTGGGTGGGTGGGTGGGTGGGTGGGTGGGTGGGTGGGTGGGGATTGGAGTGGGTGGGGTGGGTGGGTGGGTGGATTAGATTGGGGTTGGGTGGGTGGGTTAGATTAGGTTGGGTGGGTGGGTGGGTGGGTGGGGTGGGATTGGGGATTGGGATTGGGTGGGTGGGTTGGGTGGGTGGGGTGGGTGGGTGGGTGGGTGCTGGGTGGGTGGGTGGGTGGATGGATGGTTGGGTGGGTTGGGTGGGGTGTGGTTGGGATTAGTTGGGTTGGTTGGTTGGGTTGGGTGGGATTGGGTGGGATTGGTTGGATGGGGTGTGGGGTGGGTGGTTGGGTGGTGGGTGGGTGGTGGGTGGGTGGGTGGTGGGTGGGGTGGGTGGGGTGGGTGGGTGGGTGGGGTGGGTGGGTGGGATGGGTGGTGGGGTGGGTGGGGTGGTGGGTGGGTGGGTGGGATTGGTGGGTGGGTAGGGTAGGTAGGTAGGTTTAGGTGAAATGGAGGAAAAAAAAGAGTATGGGTTGAGGTAAGAGGAGACAAAAACGTCTCAATTAAAGGAAGGTGAAGTCTGCATAGATAGGTAAATATTGAGAAAGATAAGGAAGCTAAATCAATGGCTTAAATAATCCTTTTAATTATAAGTTTCATGGTTTTTTTTTATCACTCATTACCACGATGGATTATTTTGATTCGAATAAATAAACAAACTCACAGAATTAAAAAGAAAGACCCACTTTAATATGTCTATTTAGGTCAAAAAATGCCACACACACCTCACTGTAATTAGTCTCTTAGGTCAAAAGGAGGTCACATACTTGACCTCAACTCATCAGTGAAGGAGTACAAGGACTCGCAACAACCATCCTTACCAACCCACCACAATTTGGTTTTTAGTTGCTCAATGACTCGCGCCACCACTCTCTTAGCAACCAGCAATCAGCAACCATTCACGAAAAAATTATGATAGTTGCTGAGGACGTCAAGGGAGGGAGGCAGGAACTCGGTCTACAGATCAGAATTTACTACTGAAGAAAGATTACCACAGTGTGTTAGGGAGACTTAGCCTCTGAATCTCCAGCTAGTTCTCCAAGCAGTGAGGATGGAGGAGGACAAATTTTAGCTCTAAACTCTTTTTTAAGTATCTGATAGAGGAGATAACACGAGCTCTAATCTGAAGCTCTACAGAAGCAACTCTAAACTGACCTTCTAAACACACGACTTGACAGGAATACTACCTGACATCAGTAGCCTTGAGCTGATCTAAGGCCACAGTTCATTTAAAAAAAGACAGACAGACAGACAGACAGACAGACAGATAATTTACCCTCGTGACGTAGGTACACCTGATCCGTCTCACTGGACAACCTTCAGAATGGTACAGTGGTCAAACTACCTGTGTGGTTTACCTGTCAACCGGAAAATAATATTATGACTTGTTTGGATAATTGGAGTTGTACGGTGAACGGCTTTTAGAGGATGGTTACCGTCTCAATTGTGGCGCTTAGTTGCTCTGTCTAAATTGTGGCCCACAGCTGGGTTCTGTCTAATTTGTGACTCTCAGCTGGGATCTCTGTAATTTGTGGCCCCTATCATTCATTTATTCTATCTCTTTGTCCTGTGTAATTCCTGTTTTTTTCTGTGTTTTGTCTAATTTCTTATTGATTTCTTCTGTATTTTAACCGATGTTTATGTCAGCTAGGAGCAAACTGTAAGTAACTGACTGTACTGACTGTAAGGAACTGACTGTACTGACTGTAAGGAACTGACTGTACTGACTGTAAGGAACTGACTGTAGTGACTGTAAAACCTAACGAAAGGTTCTATGTCTAAGTCAATATAGAACTTAGAACTTCATTATAAGACTGAGGTGTTTGTGGCGACAGTGTTTACAACATACTGAGGGTTGAGAAAGTTCCCAGAGTAGTACTTTAGAGAGAAAGTTCTAACGCGATGGAATAGAACTTGATCAACGTAATGAAACCTAATGTAATGTTTGTGGGTTCTGATGGAAGTGTGGCGGTAGAACCTAACCTCACTAGGGTTCTGAGGGAAGGGTGAAGGTCCAAGCAAATCAAAGCGGTACTATAGTTCTGTAAACGGGAAAAAAAACAAAAAAACAGGGACTTACCGACGTCTAGGGTGAGTTGCTTGGCTGAAAATCACAACGGTACTAGAGTTCCGTTAGTATTTAGGAGGTATTTACTGTTAACAGGAAAATAAATAAAACAGGGACTTACCGACGTCTAGGATACGCTGCTTGACTGAATGCTGTCGACTGTGCCAGAATTGCCAGGCCTTAATCTCATCCTCTGGTGTCTTCTCCTCCCGGAATACCAACATCACAACACTCTGAAGAAGGCGAAGAAGAAGTAGACAAAGTTAGTAATAGGTTAAGAAGTTTCAAGAGGCATTCAAATAAACTTTACGCTCGTCAGTGGAAAATCATTATAAGTTTGTGAAATTTTTTGGGAAATATAATAAATTTTGAGTTAAAGTTAGTGGAAAATCATTGAAAGTTAGTGAAAGTTAGTGTGGATTTGGGGGAATTTGATTAATTTTACAGTCAGTGAAAACAAGTGTAGAATGATGTTACTTCAAGAAAAATATGATGATGAATGAACTGAATGAAAACTGGTATACTATGAAGGGAAATATACCAAACTTTATTCAATATACCAGAGAAAACTACAGTGAAAGTCCGTGAAAGTTGCCAATGTAACTTCAAACGGAATCTAGCGGCTGAGTGAATGTTGGCTCGCTTTCAAGAGGAATCTAATAAACTCCTGAAGTGAAAGTTGGGATAACTTTCACGATATTCCAACTGCAAGCAAAAAAAGGGGGGGGTCGGAATCACTCCAACAAAATTCAACTATAAACCAAAAAACAAAACAAAAACAAAAAAAACCCAACTAGCATAACTTCATGAAATCTCTGGTAACTTCAGCGAGATAAATCGGACAAAACTTCAGTCAAAATCCGGGAACTTTATGCTGAAGAGAGATAAAATTAATTGCTTCATTATTATTCACCTGAACTTGTTTTGGGGAGATGGTGACGTGAAGGTTTAGCTTAGGTTTAGCTTAATGCTGAAGCCTCTACCAACACAAGAGAAAGCTAAATAGAATCACTTACACCTGCTTTTTAGGATCAGATTATAATGCTTAGTCTATGATCCATCAAGACTAATTAACAGAAGACAATAAAGATGTGTTCGAAGACGAAAAAATGGGGTATAATTTTCAGGTTTTTATTTGTATGTGTATACGCACACATCACACCTACACAGACACACACGCACACACACACACACACACACGCACACACACACACACACACACACTATACAGTTCAGGTCCACCGTGCACAGAGCTTGATAATAGGCAGAGGGGATTATACCGTGCCAAAGTCTTCTCCTTTGTGCCTAGATTATCATATACACACAGCCAAAAGGACCTATACCACCGGCTACCTGTATACTGGGAGAAGCTGAGGGGGGGGTGGGGAGAAGGGAGGGTGGGGGTGGAGGCTGATGGGAGGTTGGGGTAAGAGGAGATAGGGATGGGGTGTAGACAGGAGAAACTACATAGGATTGGGAAGAAGAAGAAGAAAGTGTGAGGGATGAATGAGAGGGAGGGAAGGGGCGTGTGTGTGTATATAAGACGGGGGGGGAGGGAGAGAGGGAGGGAGGGAGAGAGGGAGAGAGGGAGGTAGGGAGAGAGGGAAGTAGGGGCTCTCTTGTCCTGTATAACTGAGATAAAGTGAGGGGCGGAGGAGGAGGAGGAGGAGGACGCTTCGCTGAGGATATTCTGCTATTAATAAAAGAGAATCCTGACGAAGATAATACTAAGAGTAATACAGATGACGTATAGTTGTATTATCATTATTATCATTATCATTATCATTATCATTATCATTATCATTATTATTATTCACGACAGACAGACAGACAGACAGACCTTAACATCTATACACCTTAATATATAAAAACGATAAAATAACAAACATAGAAACAAGAAAGTAAACCAACACAAAAAATCGAAGAAAAAAAACTTCCTTAAAACACTCCACCATTGACCAGGACGAGCAAAGATATTTCAGGCAGGTAAACACGACGGAACAAACCATTTCAGACAGGTGTATGTAGACAGGTAGCGAAGATGCATGACAGGTAGGCGAGAGAACGGAAGCAAAGGTGAAGACAAGGTAAAGAAAAAATGGCCTCCTTTCCTCCACTCAGGTGTACCAAGGTGCTTGTTGTGACCGGGCACCCCCTCTCCACTCCCAACCACCCCTCCAACCACCCCCTCCGACTTGATATCAGGTATATACGAAAAAAAAAAAGAGGGCTAATGAGATTCTTGGCATTTTAAGAGATTTCCAGACATGGACGCCGCCACATACCCGAGGGCACAAGGTGTTACAAGGGACCCATTAGTTAATAAAAGGAGTATCTACAGGTACTCCAACACTGGGAAATAGATCTGAGATATGATGCTAAGTTATCATTCTTGTTTTGGTTGTAATAATAAAAATAAACTAATTTTCAAACGTCTTAAGTGATTTTTCCAGAGACATATTCAACTATCTCACTATCTCACTGAATCATCTCTCAACCAGACATAAATAATTAAAGAAATCTGAATAAATTGAATATTTCGACATAGACTGCAACACGTAACGCCAGACGAGAGCTGAGTGTATAGAAATGCGACCAACGTCAGACGCTCCTACGGACACACCCAGGGCAGGACGTGGCGGCAGTGGCTTACGACCCTCTGCCCACCTTACCTGGAGATTCGTCAAATGTGAAGCATAAGAGATGTGGATTAAAATCTTACACGAACGTAAAAAAAAAGTCTTATTTTTTTAAAACATGAATTATAGATGATTTTTTTTCCAAACTTATTACAAATGAATCATCAATTGTGTTAGTATATCAGGATAGAAGAGTAGAGTTAACTGAGGGATAAATAGAGTGAATAAAATGCCTCGAGGATCTATAGCTAAAACGAGGTTGTGTTCCAGTTCGTACGCCAAGTATTAAGCATAGGAGAAGCATATGAACGCCAGGTGCCGACTGCCCGTTTCTCTCCTCCATCAATGGTAAGATATTAACCACTCAGTCTTATCCTTATTTTGACACAACACCCACAAACCCGAGACCTACTTTCCCTTACTACACAGAAACTTATACCCGACATACAAACAAGATAAGAAATAATTAATAAAAAAAAATTACAAACCCTGTGAATTCCTCTCAATGAGACAGGTTGGACAGCTGAAGAAGGGAGGGGGGGGTAGAGGGGTGGTAGGAGGGAGGGGGTGAGGAGGAGTTTAAAGAAGGATAGTGAAAGAGAGGAGGTGGAGGGAGATGGTGGGGTGGGGGACGAGTCTAGGAAAAAAATAGAGGTGGAGGGTAGGGGAGGGTGAAGGTGTATGTGGGTTAGGAAGTGAGGGTGGGGGGGAGGGAGGAGGGAGGAGGATGTGGGAATATCATTGTGTCAACATATTTGTGTGTGTGTGTGTGTGTGTGTGTGTGTGTGTGTGTGTGTGTGTGTGTGTGTGTCTGTGTGTGTGTGTGTGTGTGTGTGTGTGTGTGTGTGTGTCTATGTCCTAACATTCTCTAAGTAATCTTCACCAAACTAAAAAAAACTAAAAGTTAAACTCACCAGCTATAAAATAAAAAAATAATTACTATATACAAACTATTTATTAGATTATAAATCACGAATGACTTAGCAAAATAAATAATAATAATAACAATAACATCAACAATACTACTGCTACTACTACTGCTACTACTACTACTACTACTACCACTAATAATAATAATAATAATAATAATAATAATAAAAAAATAAATAAATATCCAAGGTTGAGTTTTGCATTGGTGGGAAAGGTAAGGTAAAGTAAGGTAAGGTAAGGTAAGGTAAGGTAAGGTAAGGTAAGGTAAGGTAAGGTAAGGTGAGGTAAGGTAAGGTAAGGTAAGGTAAGGTAAGGTAACGGGGAGGTGAGGTAAGGTAAAGGTATGTAAGGTAAGGTAAGGTAGCAGGTAGGGTAAGGTATAAGGTAAGGTAAAGGTAAGTAAGGGAGGGAGGTAAGGTAAGGTAAGGTAAGGTAAGGTAAGGTACAGGTATGTAAGGTAAGGTAAGGTCAGCTCAGGTAAGGTAAGGTAAGGTAAGGTAAAGGTATGGTAAGGTAAGGTAAAGGTAAGCAGGATGTAAGGTAAGGTAAAGAGTAAGAGGAGGAGGAGGAGGTAAAGGAGGAAGCATCGGGTAGAAAAGGACTAAGGTAAGGCAGGTGTCGTCTCCTCGATGTCTAGTAATTATGGCATTAATTGGGATACCTGGGCCGTGGTGGGGGGTGTGGGGGGGGAGGTTAGGGGGTGGTGAGGGAAGAGAGGAGGGGGGGGGGCGTCTCTACCTTCATTAACAGTGGTCCCTCTGATTAGTGGCAAATGTGTCCGATAAACGGGGTCGAGAGAGAGAGAGAGAGGCTGCGCTCGAAACTGGTGAAAAATGAGAGTTTTAATTTACGGAGACGATGGTGTGTTTCGTACTGCTACTGAAACCCAGATCGAGTTAAGAATAAATTGAAATATGTTCCTCAGTAAAACGAAATTAGGTTAAAAGTAAGTAAAATTCACTTTCTCCTCAGTAATTGTTTAGTTTAGGTTAGGTTAGGTTAGGTTAGGTTTACGCTCATGTAAAGTAGATGTAAATGAAACTAAAATAATTAATGTTTTAAATCTGTGGTACAAAGTAGGAAGGGAGGTTGGCGTGGTTCTGTGGTGGTGGTGGTAGTGGCATAGTGATGGTGGTAATGGTTACAGTGGTGGTAGTAGTGGTAGTGACAGTGGTGGTGGTAGTGGCATAGTGATGGTGGTAATGGTTACAGTGGTGGCGGTAGTGGTAGTGACAGTGGTGGCGGTAGTGGTAGTGACAGTGGTGGCGGTAGTGGTAGTGACAGTGGTGGCGGTAGTGGTGAGAGTGACAGTGGTGGCGGTAGAGTGGTAGCAGTGGTGGCGGTACAGTGGTGGTGTAGTGGTGGTGACGGTGTGGTGGTGGTGGTGACGTGGTTGGCGGTGTTGGTGGTGACGTGGTGTGTGTGGTAGTGGTGGTGGTGGTGGTGACGGTGGTGGCGGTGGTGGTGGTGACGGTGGTGGTGGTGGTGGTGGTGACGGTGGTGGTGGTGGTGGTGGTGACGGTGGTGGTGGTGGTGGTGGTGGTGGCGGTGGGTGGTGGGTTGGTTGGTGGTGGCGGTAGTGGCATAGTGATGGTGGTAATGGTTACAGTGGTGGCGGTAGTGGTAGTGACAGTGGTGGCGGTAGTGGTAGTGACAGTAGTGGT